TAATAATAATAATAATCATAATGATCATAATAAAAATAATGATAATAATAATAATAATAAGGAAATTAATAATAACAATAATCAATATTTATTCCCAATTAATCCACGATAAAATGGGGTATTACATTATGACATCACATATATACATGAAACTTATCAAATTCCATATTCAAAATCCCAAAATAACTATCCATGAACAAATTAAATTATCAACAAATTTAATATCACAATTTCATGGATAATAACTCAAATTTGAAAAATATACATAACACAAGCAAGGTAGAGATTAAACTCTGCTTTGATACCAAATGTAAGAATATTAATCCGATTTAATCATATATCGGTACAGCGGAATGATCGAGATTACATACCTCCAGCCATTGCTTGTGAATGTTTGAGTTATTTGAAGAACTTGTAGAACACAACCGTGAATGCTTTGACACTTTCACTTTTATTTGGTCAAGATCTTCTAGGCTCTTTCCCTTTCTCTATAGATGGTGTAAGATTTAGTTGTAGTAAAGTGATGAGCCTAGGGACCTTTTATAACCTATGGTACCCTTTGGCAGAAAGGTACCTTTTCATATATGGTACCTTTTGGTATAAAGGTACCTTTTTTGATATATGGTACCTATTGGAATATGGTACATTCTGATAGAAATGTACAAAGTCTACTTATTAATTCTGTCCATCATAGAATTAATAAGTGATTAACAGTATTTGTACACTTTATAAATAGGAACATGTGGACCACATTAAAATTATCTTGTTTATACATAATACAAGATAATAGAGAAAATAAAATACTAACAGTCTGACCTCGGTTTCACGGCGGCGATGGGCTGATAGAGGCGGCGCTCGGAGTTGCAGGTGGAAGAGCAGCGTTTGGGAGCTTCTCGCGATGGGACAACGATGATGATGGTGTTGTAGTCGCGAGGTGATGATGATGGTGATATCGAGAGGAATTAAAACGAGAGAGAGGGAGAAGTCAGATTTTTTTTTTTTTTTTTTGGAAAAAGCTGCATGAGGGTCTCGAGAGAAAAGAGCTGATACACAATATAACTTAAGGTTTAGAATCTTTCTATCCAAAATTGATAAAACGGGTCGTGGGTCATGGGTCCGGGCCAAAGGCGCTGGGGCGCGGGGTGCGGGCCGGTTTGCTCTCGTTTCTCATTCTCTTGGCTCGACTTAGCCATCATTAATAGCTCGGCATCAATAAAATAAACTCGGTTCATCCGTACGCGATTAATAAATTAACTGGATAATATATGCATATACGCATAATATTTATTATAATAATCATTTAGACAAGTAATATTTATTTAATATTTATAAGCAATCAAACATTTAGATAATTTAGCAATTAAATATAAATTAATAATAATAACAACACAATAATATCCGAAAAACAAATTCAATAATCGAACAGTTAAATCCGAACTACGCGACTAAACCGAAATCGCCGAACATCGAACGTTTTAAAATAAAACGATCAAGTACTCCAACTTATTATTTAAGCCGACATTGCGACTAATAAATATAATCTCATAAACAAAATCGATAAATAGAATATTCTGAGAAATTCTATAAATCGAACGGCGCGTTACAAAAAGCTCGGGCCTGCGCAACAGAGAAACTACCAATTCTTCCAGCAGCTGAATTTTGAAACCCGGAACATGATGGAATTCCTCTAGCCCCGGAGGTTCTTCATCGAAAATCGGTGGACTGTCATAGAGATCGTCCACTTCGTCGGTAAGACGCTTCTCCACCTTTTCGGGTCCTTCATCAAACACAGGCGGACCATCGTACAATGGCCCATCAACTTGCTCTTCGTAGAATTCGGGGAAATCGACGCGAAACCGTCCCTCCCAATGGCCAT